GATGGAATCCATGGGGCCCCGGTGCCTCTGCCGAAACCGCTGACTCGTTATTTGACGGGAAAGACGGTAGCACACCTCCGACACACCCACTCCTCCGAGCCCCATAGCCCGAATCCGGTCCTGGACCCGACTCCGAATCCGACCCTGTCTCCACATCTTCAGCCCGTTCTCAGCCCGACAACTTTTAGCCGGGCTCATCTACTTCTCGCCTCTGAGCCGGACTCGACTTTCGCTTGCCAACGCCAAACGCCAGTCAGATCTTACGGCATGGCTCCGGCAGGCATGTCAGGCGACCTGATGAGCCGGGAAGTGGGCAAACGTCCTGTTGGACTGGAACTTTGTCAGACGGGGCCGACTGCACCTGGACGGTTTTACACTGACCCAAGGAAGACGGAAGAGTTGACCGGTCTCCAGGTATCTTTTTGGGGACAAGACAAAGAGAGATTGGCTTCTCGATTAGTAGAATGGGTGTAGCGCATTTCAGCCTCTCCTCTTAACCGCCCGTCATGGGCATTTGAATCTGATCTGGAGGTGGGCTTTGATGCGAGCACAAACACATACACACCAACTTGGTTTAAGGTACGAAACAGGCCGACAGTCAAGCCTTCCACAACAAAGAATGTTTAAGGCTTCACGATTTAATTGAAGTTGTGTCATTTGTTAAGTGTTTTATGACTATCAGTATTCCTTGAAGACAAACTTTGGCAACTATATTCGATCAAGTGGTTTGAACTCGCTTTCGTAAATTGGTCGTATTGTCAGGTAGACTTAGAGAAACGTACCTCGCCCGGAGTCAGAGGTCCATGGTCCGATGCTGTAAATTATCATGACTAATAAGACAGAGGACTCCGGACAAGGGGCGATCCTCTAGGTCTCTCTGACAATACGACCAAGTTGTGAAAACGAGGTCAAACCCTTTTTATACAACTAAAGGAGACCGCCGTCATATCAAAGGCAACATCATCCTGGCCCTTACATCTTCCATATTCGTATAAGATGATCTAAGGATTGGTAGTACTGTGTATACCGTAGTTAAACAAGTAGCCTCTTTAGCCCTTTAAATTTCATATGGTCACCTTTCCAAAATTGTCTTCTCATCCTGGATGGGCCTTAGTTTAGACCTCGCCTAGGTCTCATCATCCCCAATGGGACTCGAACTCACGTAATAAACATCGGGGCAGCGCAATCACGGGTACCAATGGGTCACAGGGCAGATGTGACTTTTAAGGCAAGTCAGGTGAGAAAACATACTGAGGCAAGATTAAGTGAAATACAAAAGCATCGTGAGGCATACTAATAGCATTCCAGGAATCGCTCTGCTACATAACTTAAATCACCCTTAACTAAATGAAGTGAAGAAGCCCTCATTGAAGTTTCCTCAGCATTACCTCATAAAAAACATTTTTATTTGGGCTGAACGGCAGTTTCCACCTTATCTGAGTCTCACCAGCATCAGAAACGTGATCCGAACCCAGGATCATGAACACTCCTACATTCAACAACCACCACACAGTAACAACTACCAGTGTATTACTGGACAAAAGTGGCATTCTCTAAACTTGTGTGAATTTATGAATGAGTGGTTTCTATATTCCACTTGGTGCGGGTGCCGAAGAGACCCGGACGAGGTCGAAACTATTCATCATGGAGAAATTATGCCTTTTCCAAATTCTTTCCTTTCTGGCAAACTTAACTCTTAATCTTTACACAATC